TCTTTATCTTTAGCCGCGACTTCTATCATCATTTATGATGCATGCCACTGATTTTAATCAAATGCTGTTTGCAATGCATGCAAATTTTTTGACTTGAATCTGTTTTATGACGGGCTTATGAAGTTGCTTCTGATGCCTTCGATGTTTTTGTTCTTTTGGGTAAAGTTACCTGGAAAAGAAAATAATAAAGAAATAGGGTTAATTCTGCCGCATAACAGACCAATGTTATGGCAAGGCTATGTTATGAAGAACTTTCCACACTAAATATTGACAAAAGCCATGCGGTTGATGTGCAGTCAGGCGTATTTCTCAGGTTGTCAGATAGAAAACCTAACCCAGAAACCGCACAAATGTCAAAAAAACGATGTTAGGTAACAGGGTGTTTTTGACTCGGCTCCATAACAGACGAGTGACGTTACAGTTTGTGTGTAAAACGCCTGAATGCACAGCAAATACATAAATTCAACGTTGCTGTTATGAAAAAAATGACCACATTCTGAATTTTTTACTAGGAGTATTTTTTTCGTTGTAAAGTTCTTTTTGGTTTTGAGCACTGTTGTTTAGTTAATACGAAGTTAGAAATTTTATTACTCTGTTAAATCTAATTTTTCTCACAAGTTTTGTAGTGGGTTAAAACTCAAAAAATAAGCGTAACAATTTGTGGAATTAAAGTATAAATTTTTTTGAAAAATGCTATTTTAAAGTAGGGAGCAAAAAATGTGTAACAAGCCATGGCTTTAAATCGGTCAGCGTCGCTATCACAAAATATGTTTACTGCAATTATCTCAAAAACAAGTGAAGTATGAATTTTATCATCTGTGCTATTATAAAGTAGAGAGCAAAGTGAGTACAACGAGCAGTAAATTTAAAAAATGCATCATCGTTATCTTAAAAAAGTGACTTCATTGTCAATTTTTTACCAGGAGTATTCTTTTTGTCATTACGTTTTTTTTTTGTTGGTTTTGAGCACTGTTGTTTAGTTTACAAAGTTGGAAATGTTATTACTCTGTTAAATCTAATTTTTATTAGAGTTTTGTAAGAGGTTAAAACTCAAAACATTAGCCTCACAATTTGCCGAAATAAAGTATAAAATTTTTTAACAGTACTATTTTTAAGTAGGGGGCAAAATTGATACAACGAGCACTAAATTTAAAAAATACATCGTCGTTGTAATAAAAAAGTGACTGCATTGTCATTTGCGAAGGATTGAAACTCAAAACATAGACATAGATTGATGTCCAAGCAAAGTATGAAATTTTTTAACAATACTATTTTAAAGTAGGGGGCAAAAATGTGTAACCAGCCGTGGCGTTAAATCGGTCGACGAAATATGTTCACCACAATTATCTCTCAAAGAAGTAAAGTATAGATTTTTCTAACTGTGCTATTTTAAAGTAGAGGGCAAAATGGGAACAATCAGTTCTGAATTTTAAAAAAAGGAGCGTCGTTGTCATGAAAAAAGTAACCACATTGTTAACTTCGTTCGTCTCTATTAACACACCACATCTCTAAAAAATCGTTTATTGTCTCTAATGACACTCTCTACAATATTTTTAAATTATTCATTACAAATTATTATAATTTATTCATTTCTGTATGTCTCAAGCCATTTATATGTCGCTAACACATTATTTGGATACAATGAGGCTTTTTGTGGATGCAAATCTATTAAAAAAACTTTGAAGTAAAACTTCTTTAGGGAGGCAAAGTGTGAATTGACTAAAATTGTTGTAAATTGTTTGGAAATGTTATAAATTGTTGAAAATTTGTTGGAATTATCAAGAAAAAGTGCCGTTTTTATAACCGTGTTCCCAAAAATCTTGCTTCACAGAAAATAATGATTATCTAAAAAAAATTTTGAAGTAAAACTTCTTTAGGGAGGCAAAGTGGGAAATTGTCTAAAATTGTTGTAAATTGTTTGGAAAATATTATAACCTGTTGAAAAATGTTGCAATTTGTTGGAATTATCAAAAAAAGTGCTGTTTTTGTAACTGTGTTCCCAAAAATCTTGCTTCACAGAAAATAATTAATAATTATCTAAAAACATTTTTGAAGTAAAATTTCTTTAGGGAGGCAAAGTGTGAATTGTCTAAAATTGTTATAAATTGTCTGAAAATGTTATAAATTGTTGAAAATTTGTTGGAATTATGAAAAAAAGTACTGTTTTTGTAACTGTGTTCCCAAAAATCTTGCTTCACAGAAAATAATTTATAATTATCAAAAAACATTTTTGAAGTAAAACTTCTTTAGGGAGGTAAAGTGTGAATTGTCTAAAAATGTTATTAATTGTTTGGAAAATGTTATAAATTGTTGAAAAGTGTTGCAATTTGTTGGAATTATCAAAAAAGTGCTGTTTTTGTAACCGTGTTCCCAAAATGTATCATATAATCTTGCTTCACAGAAAATAATTAATAATTCTCTAAAAAAAAAATTGAAGTAAAACTTATTTAGGGAGGCAAAGTAAAAATTGTCTAAAATTGTTGTAAATTGTTTGGAAAATGTTATAAATTGTTGAAAAATGTTGCAATTTGTTGGAATTATCAAAAAAAAGTGCTGTTTTTGTAACCGTGTTCCCAAAAATCTTGCTTCACAGAAAATAATTAATAATTATCTAAAAAAAATTTGAAGTAAAACTTATTTAGGGAGGCAAAGTGTGAATTGTCTAAAATTGTTGTAAATTGTTTGGAAAATGTTATGAAATGCTTAATAAATGTTGCAATTTGTCCAGAAAAATTGTAGACCGTCCGATGATTTTTGGAATTATCAAAAAAAGTGATGTTTTATCAAAAAAATCTTACCATCTTATGTTTGTATATTGTTCACAAAAATTAATGAATAATAATCTAAATAGATTTTTGCTATAAGTTCATACAGCTTGTCTTAACCCTAAAAAACAACTTACAACTACTTAAAAAATTATTTACCTTTTTTGGCAAGCTCTGCATAATTATTCAGCAGCTCCTCTGGATAATTTTCTTTATCCTCAGGTGTAACATTCATATATAAATCTAAATTTTGAGCCTCCATGAGATAACCCGCATTAACCAATTGTAATTGTAGAAGAAGCAATTTGTTCACATGATCTGGGGAATAAATAAATAACAATATATATATATATATATATATATATATATATATATATTTATTTTTATTGTATACCTGGAATTTGCAATCGAAAACAAGTAACACATGTAATCTTCAGCAAAGACCGTATCATATTATAAAACAACGGATTCAGTACTGGTAAGGGTAGTTCGATATGCCCAATATGTCCAGGGCAACCTATGACATTATGAAAACATGTTTGGCAAGGATCGCTTCTTTCACCCAAAGGGCCTGGAATAAAAACAACAAAATTTAACTATAAAAATGCATTTTTGTCAATAAGGTTAGTGTATTATATATGAATAGACAATTGTCCATTACTAGTGTTATGGTTATTACCTAAACAAGGGTCATAAAGTCCTCCAGGCAAAGGATTCCCCAAACTATTGAATGTCATGGGTGTATAAATTTTACAAACACTCAACTTCTTGATTTCTTCATCGGTGAACATTGAAAATACAACATTACTTGGATCCATATGCAGATCCAAGTTGAATTTTCTTATAGCGTGCCGGGACATTGTTAATAATAAATTTATAAACTTTAATTACGGATTTATAAACAATTTTGTTGTCAGTCAAATAGGTTAGGTTAAATTTAGTTTGTATTTTAAATTGTAAACGGTCCAGTAAATGTAAGGACATCTAGGTATGGTAATAGATAAGTGATTAAATGTTATATTTTTAATCGGAAGTCTGTTTTAACACTATTATTTAATATAACTAAACACATTTTATAAATGAACACATAACCTAAGTTTTAACATGTGCCGCTGACTCTGTTTTTGTTGTAAGTGACGTTTGTCAGGCAAGATGGCGATACTGTAAAATTGTATGGAGGGATTTTTAAATATTAAAATCTACTTACAAAAACTAATTAGTTTTACTACTAATTAGTGCTAAGAACTAGGTGTAAATGTAATTTTACCTTAAGTTTACCTAAAACTCGTTATTATGATTACAAAGTTTTGTTGAACTGTCAAATTGATTCGACACTTTTAGCGCCAAATTCAAATTGTGAATTTCAAATAAATATTGAAGTCGTTTTTAAAAAAAAACGACGACCAAAAGTCAAATTTTGACTCACATTACTTACTTTTTTAATGTGGGGCTATACGATTCAGAATGACTCGAGCTTCAAGAAAATTAGCTATAAACTTAAACATGAATTTATGAATTGTAGTTTATTTAAAATATTTTTGTCTTAACAAGATTTAGAGTTTTTATATATTTTTTAACATTTATTAATAAATATCAATTTTACGAATATTGTTAATAATTTATAAAAAAATCTAAACAAACTTTTTTTAATTTTACTTTATTTCATAACACATATATACTGTAATTTTTTTCTAACATAAAAATCAATTTAACTTACTTGTTATATTTTTTTTGTTGAAAAATTAAAAACTTTCTAATTAACTTAATGTTATTGCCAATTAAATTTGCATATAATTTATTAACTTCCCGTTTGTAATGGGCCGAAAATCGAAATTGAAAATTTTTACATTTCTCGACGTTTTGAAGGTTTCTGAACATTTTGGCATACCTCAGAAAAAATAGATGTGTGTGTGGTGTATGTATGTATGTATGGATACAAATTTCCAGTCACGTTTTCGGGCGCACGGATCAACCGATTTGAATGGTTCAAAAAACATTCGATTCCTATTGATAGGGAAAAGAGCTAATTAGTTTTTGGCGAAGGCAGGTCCAGCCGTTTCGGAGATACGAAGCAAAGAGTGCAGAAAATATAAATCGACTTTTTGAGAGAACGGAGTATCCGATATGAATGATCTAAAAAACATTCAATTAGTAATGACTGGGAGAAGTGTTTATTAGTTTTTGGCAAAGGCAAGTCCAGCCATTTCGACGATACGGAGCTAAATATGTAAAAAATGGCAGTTTTTGAGAGAATTAAGCGTCCGATTTAAATGATTCAAAGAACTTTCTGCTTGTCTTAACAAAATAATTGATTTGAAAAGAAAAATTGTATAATTTTTTTTTTTTTTTTTAGTTTTTCTTTTATATCGAAAATAATTCAGATTTTATTTTTATTTTGACTAAAGTTCTAATATAACTTAAACAAAAAAATTTAAATTTGCAATTCAGTTTATATACTTCTTATAAATATTAGACAATGTTACAATATTTATAATAATCTATTTGAAAACATTTAGTATTCCTCGAACATTTCGTTACAGTACGGGAAGTTCCAGCAATTTGCCTTAAGGCACAATGCCATAATTGCCTCAAAACAGAATTCCACTTACAGCTAGTTTTTTACTAATTTTACTTAAAAAACAAAACCAAAAATAGCTACTATTAAAACTTAAAAATCAAAATTTGTGTCTCGCTTATTATATTTTTTTTGATAACATAGTAAATCCGATTTTCTGGCAAAATATAAACTTCTGCTTCTAAAAAATATTATTCTACCCCAATAATATTTCGTCTTATTTATCTAATTAATATTATCTAATAATAAAAGTAAAATAAAATTTCAATATAAGTTTGAAATATAGATTTATTACAAATAAATAAAGTTGCTATCACATTGTTTCCTTACAATAAAGTCTTCATATATATATATATATATATATATATATATATATAATTAATCGCTGTCATCATCTTGCAAAATTTCTTCCTTTACAAATAAAGCCGGTTCGATTTCAGCTCGAGTAACAATATTATTATTTTCAATAATACAATTTGTTACTCCTTTTCCGATGATTGCATTTATTACATCACTTAGTTCTGGGAAAAATAATAATATATATATATATATATATATATATATATTATTAATATACCAAACCTGGTTGAAAATCTGGTTGAGGATCCACTTTTATTTTATCTGCACTTTCAGTTGATTCACAATCATTTTCTGTATATCCGCTTGATAGTTTTTCCAATTTCTAAATTAATAAAGTAAAAAAAAGCATCAGTTTTTAAATATTAATGCAGCAATAAATTATTCTCAAAAACAGCAATATCTTCTTTTAAATTATTATTATTATTATCTTACCATTTCTATTATTGTAATTTGGTTATATTTTATTATTTTTCTAGTATTATTTTATTATTCAGAAATTTTATTTATATTATTTATTAATCTTATTTTTATTATTATTTGCTTATATTTTACATTAAATCATATTACGGATATTATTTTCATGTAAATTTTATCCTTTGCTCTTTTATTTATTTAAATTTATATTATTATTTATCAATATTACTTGATGTTAATAAATTAGCAGTTGTAATAATTATTGAAAAAAAAAAAAAAAAAATCTTTTAAATAAATAAATTGATGGTAAATGCACATAAAAAATAAATATGATCGATCATTATTATTTAATATTAAGATAAAAATATTAATCTTACCATCGGTGTCTCTAAATCAGATGAAATATTAATCTGTTTTTGCAAAACTTCCCTTTTGCGTTTTTTACGTTTACGTCCTTCATTAGAATGATCTAAAAAAAAATACAAAATGAATAAAAACTATACAAATCACAATAAAATTATTTTCAATACTAAATTCACCTGCATCTGGGTGCTTCAATTTATATTCTTCAACCATATTTTTGGCTTCTAAATAATATTTAGCTTTCTCGTCTTGATCTAAACTTTTCCACATTAAACCAAGACGTACAGATATATTTTTATTACTCTCTTCTAAAAGGATAATATAAATATAAATATAAATATAAATTTGAATAATAAATATAAATATAAATATAAATATAAATATAAATTTGAATAATAAATATAAATATAAATTTGAATAATAAATATAAATATAAATTTGAATAATAAATATAAATATAAATATAAAGTATGAATATAAATATAAATATAAATATGAATATAAATATAAATATAAATATAAGTATGAATATAAATATAAATATAAAAATATAAATATAAATATCAATAATAAACTTGTGAAAAAAATATCTCAACCTGTACCTTTGTGTTCGTTTGCTAATTTTTTCCTCCACTGGTTAGAAAATATCATGAAAGCATTGGGTGCTCTACGAATACGAATTTTTGGAGTCTTTTTTATACTCATTTGTGTTCGAAACATTGGAGCATCTTCTAAATGCATTGTGTTGTTATTTTGCTCTTGAGGTTCTAACATGTCTAGAAAAATAATAAAATTTAGTATTGCATTAAGTATTAATTTTATTATTAGTATGTATATATATATATATATATATATATATATATATATCCTTTCTTTGTATTTTTATATTTGATTGTTTTGTTATTTAATTGTAAAATTGTAAATTGTATATCTAATACAACTATATATATATATATATATATATATATATATATATATATACCTGTGGAAGTACTTGTTGAATCCGGAGGGCTTGATGGCTAAAAAAATAGATTAAAATTAGTAAATTCCTAAAACTATTTAAAAGAGAAAGGTTATACCTCTTCATCATTGATAAAATTATGTGTGTTCTCAGCATCCACCTGAAATGTACAGGTAATTATAAATATGTAATATTAAATGTATATATATATATATATATATATATATATATATATATATAGATATATTAAATAGTATATTTACATTTGTAAGTTTCTCCTCAGCAACTACATCACCGCTTGCAGCATTATTCAGTAAACAATTTGTACCCTTGTAATTCAATTTAGACAGTACGTCCTTTAAACTTTTAATCTACAAACAAACAAAGAAACCCATAATGTAAAAACAAACCTAAAGCTACATTTTATTTACTATTACTTACTTGTAGCTGCTCAGCAACCAACAAAAAGTCATACAAATCATCTTCTTCGATATGTATTTCCCCAGTATATATATACTGTATCATTAACATTAATTGACGTGCAGAAATTGAATTAAGAACTATAATAACCTCGTTTTGCTTGTGCAACTTGAAAAGATCCTAAAGTAAAAATATTTATGTGAAAATAATGGAAAAACACAATTTTGGGTGCAAAATTTGTAACCTAACCTCAAAATAACTACTGCTTGCTGAAAGTATAATTTTGTGTGCTTTAATAAGTTTTCCTTGACAAGATAGTGTAACATCAACCATACGATCGGTGACTAAATACTGGAAAAAAGCCTACAAGGTAAAAAAAAACTAGTTTTAATATTATTTCATATAAATATAAATTTTGTTTTACTTGCCTGTAAAAAGCAGTTTGAGTGATCGTTCCATTTCAAGTGAAGTCTATCTTGGGACTTCATTATTAAATTATTTATACACAAATATATATTATATGTTTATAAATATATTTATATTTATTAGAACTATTACTTGATGTCTTTTCGTGTCGTGCAATGATCTGATTCTGTTAAATTCTTTATTTTGAATGAAGATTAACGTTTAGTTTAATATAAAAGGAATTTGAACTGGTAGGAATATTTGTAAACAAGAATCAGCTGTGAAGTTGGCGTCGTGTAGATGGAGTTAGTATATTTATGAATTTAATTTACTTATTTAGGAATAAATTTGATATTGTAATATATTTAGATACATAAAAAAACATTTATTTTAATATACATTTACATATATTAAGTTATTAAATATAATTTTGTTGCTTAAACAAATGTTTGTATATTTGAATTCATATTTCGCGCGTTCTAACAAAGTGAAGTTACTTAAGCATGTTACTTTGATCATTTTCATAGTATCTCCACCAGTGTATATTTTTAAAGTGTTTTGGTTTTACTTAGTAAATATTATTATTATTAAGATATCATAGTATTTATTTATCGACTAATATACACGTATTTTCTGGTTAAATATAATTTTATTGCTTAAACAAATGTTTGTATATTTGAATTCATATTTTGCGCGTTCTAACAAAGTGAAGTTACTCAACCATGTCACTTTGATGATTTTCTTAGTATCTCAACTTGTAATTAAATGTTTATATTATTAAAGTGTTTTGGTTTTACTCGGTATTTGTTTTCATTATTAAGATAATATAGTATTTATTTATCAACAAATATACACGTTTTATTTTGTTAATTATAATTTTGTTGCTTAAACAAATGTTTGTATATTTGAATTCATATTTCGCGCGTTTTAACGAAGTGAAGTTACTTAAGCATGTCACTTTGTTTATATTTTCAATATGTCGACAAGATAATATTTAGTAATTACTTGATTATTGTTTATATTGCTAAAGTGTTTTAATTTTACTTAGTAATTATTATTAATTTCCCGTAGGGTAAGTTATTTTATATTTCTTTTATCTCTCTACTGTTAAAAAATATGTTATGTTACTAGATAAATAGACATAAATTAACTGTGAATATATTTTTACACAAATGACGGTTTTGACGTATGTCAAAATGACGATTCTTGTTTGCAAATTGCTAATTAGATGCATATTATTAGTTCTATTAGATATAATATAAATAATAATATATTATAATAAATAATAAATAATGTCTACTGATATACACATATTATAGTGTTGGAAGTGATTTTGTCACGTAAATTTCGATATATTTTTATATACATTATGCCAAAATGGCGGTTTTTGATTACGAATTGCTAATTTGTTCATTATACTTTAATGCATTTTATTATATTATATTAGATATAATAATGCATTTGTTTGTCTGTATATGTACATGTTTTATCTTGATAAAAGTAATTTTGTCAGGTAAATTTTGATATATTTTAATATAAATTTGATAGTTTTGACCTATGTCAAAATGACGGTTTTTGTTTACAAATTGCTAATTTAATGATTTTTGCTTTAATGCATATTATTAATTATATAAGATATATTAATGCATTTATTTGTATACATATATACACATATTAACTTATCAAAAAGAGTTTTGCTAATTATTTTTACATAAATATGACATTTATACAATTTTGACAGTTGTTTTTCTTTATTACATACAAACTTTCAGAATTTGATTTATTTATTTATTTAAAATGATTCTATCGTTGTGCCATAAATGTAACACTAATGAAAATAATTTTCTAATATACATTGTCGGTTATAATATATAAATTAGAAATCTATTTATCCAGAAACATAGGCCAATGCCATTTCACAGTGTTTTCTTCTGTCAAAATTTATAGAATTTTTAAAGATTTTAGTATTTCGAATGTGATCTGAGATTTTTGATAGAGCCTATTACCTAAGTTGGATGTAAATGCACAAAGTGAGCCAATAAAATTTAAAATCGGTTCAGTAGTTTAGGAGTACATTCTGGTCATACACGCTAAATTATGATTTTACTTCAATGTATATTGTTAATTGTATTAAATATAATCATACATTTATTTGTATACTTATGTACATGTATTAACTTATCAAAAAAGATTTTGCTAGTTATTTTTACACCAATTTTAAACACAAGTTTTAAAAACTGTCAAAATGGCGGTTATAAAAACTGTCAAAATGACAGTTTGTATATGAATTTGCAAAATTGTTAATTTTTTTTCATTACATTATTATAATTGCATCTTTTAAAATGTTCTTATTGTTGTGCCATAAAACTCGTAAAATTATTTCGTCTAAAATCAATTTATCTCGGTTTCCAAAAACTGACGTCATTTCACAGTACTTTGTTTTCTTCTGTCAAAATTTATAGAAATTTTTAAAATTTTCATATTTTGGATAGGAACTGAAATTTTTAATATAGCCTATTATCTAAGTTGTATATAAATACAAGAAGTGAGCCAATAAAATTTAAAATCGGTTCAGTAGTTTAAGAGTACATTCAGGACAAACATCGTGATACTTACTTTATATAAGTATATTTGAGAATTATTTTACTGTTTTTAATTTCCCATACAAATTATACTTATGATGAGTTATAAAGTGCACAAGTATTTCACGATTGTTTAATGTGTCGTGCACAATTTTTAATGTACTTATTTATTATTTAGTTTATTTGTTATTTAACGCCATTTGCGGCAGCTGCTGCCTTTAGAATATAATTCGTTTAATCGTCACGCTTTTTTATTGTCATTTTACACTTGAATTATAAACAGGGGATGGAAACATTTTTAAAATAATTTTAAATTTCCGAAGGAAATTTAATTTTTTTCCAGATTTTTAGATTTTATTTAACTCAGACTTTTTCAGACATTTTTAACTGCCCGAAGGAAATTTGTTTTTTGCGAATTTTATAGATTTTTTTTAACTTTTCATTAGTGTAAGTTATAGTAATCGCAAAAAATCGCAAATGAAAATTTTTGCATATCTTTACGTTTCAGAGATTTCTGAACATTTTGGCATACCTTAGAAAAAATGGATATGTGTGTGAGTAAAAATCGAAAGTGAACATATTTGCATATCTTTATGTTTTAGAGATTTCTGAACATTTTGGCATACCTTAAAGAAAATGAATGTATGCATATGTGTGCGGATATAATTTTTCATTGATGTCCAAAAATCGGAAGTGAAAATTTTTGCATATCTTTACGTTTCAGGGATTTTTGAACATATTCGCATATCTTTGAATAAATTGATATGTGTGTGTGTGTTTGTATGTATGTGTGGATACAATTTTTTATTGACGTCCAAAAATCTAATATAAAAATTATTGCATGTGTTTACGTTTCAGAGGTTTCTGAACATTCTGGCATACTTCAGAAAAAATGGATGTGTGTGTGTTTTTTTTTGTTTAGCGAAGAAAATGCCTTTATGCACCCCAAACTAGGTCTTTTGTCTGGGTATATTGAACTCAATACCGCCTGGGTGTAATACTGACTAAAACGTGGGGGGAGGATCTAGAATGTTATTATTCTTACCTCATGTGTGTGTGTGTGTATATAATGTACAATGTATGCATGTGTGGATACAACTTTTCGTCTACGTTTTTTAAGAGAACGGATTATCTAATTAGAATTATTCACACAATATTTTGCTTGTATTGACAGTATGAAAAACCGATTTATTTTTAAAAAGCAAAAAAAATTGATCCTAAAATTAAAAAAAAAATATTTACCAAAAAATATTTTTTTCAAATATCAAAAATAATGGGATAAATATCAATTCTCAAAATTGACATAAGTATAATTTTTCAAAAATGAAAATATTAAATTACTTAAGAAATGGCATAAATGAAACTTCTCAAAAATGACATAAGTATAGTTTTTCCAAAAATGGCATAAATATAATTTCTCAAAAAAAGGCATAAATAAAATTTCTCAAAAATGGCATAAATATCATTTCTCAAAAATGAAATAGATATTAAATTCATCAAAAATTTATCATAAATAAAATTTCTCCAAAAATGGCATCAATGTAATTCCTCAAAAAAATGGCATAAATGTAATTTCTCAAAAATGGCATAAATATAATTTCTCAAAAAATGGCATAAATATAATTTCTCAAAAATGTCATAAATATTAAATTCCTTGGAAAATGTCATAAACAAAATTTCTCAAAATAATAATATATTTATGTCAAGAAAAGACAAATAAAATTTCTCAAAGAATGATATGAAATTTTTCAAAATATGGCATGAATAAAATTTCTCAAAAAATCGCATTAAAAAAATTCAACTTTATGTTACTTATAAAAATGTAATTTTGGGTTGAAAATTCCAAAAATTACCCAGTCTAAGCACAGTCTAAGCGCCACTCTGGTACAAATGTTTACCCAAGTGCGTTTAGACTGTTTATGCATTGGATCACTTTTCCAATTTTAGCTAAATATGTAAAGCTAAATATGTAAAAAATGGCAGTTTTTGAGAGAACTGAGCGTCCGATTTAAATGATTCAAAGAACTTTCTGCTTGTTTCAACAAAATAATTGAAAAATGTGAAAATGCTGCCCAGCGAAGCACAGTCTAAGTGAAAGTGTCGCACAGAATTATTTGCGAATGCGTTTAGAATGTGACTATACGGGAGCACTTTTTCAATTTTGTGCAAATTAGGCAACTATTTTTTTTGAAATTGAATTCGAAATGAAATGACGATAAGAGATAAATTAATTTCTAATTTACATTTGATTTGCTCAGATATAACAAACAGGATAGTAAAAATAATGAAAGTTACAGTATTTGTAATATAGCATTTAAAATTTCTCGAATATTTCATTACGGTACGGGAAGTTTCAGCAATTTGCCTTAAGGCACGATGCCATACACCACTAGTTCCTTTATTAGGTTCGACATCCCTGAATTTTGTCATCTATCAAATTATGAAGTGTCGGCAATTGTGATTCATATTGTTACATAAGTATTATATACATTTGGAAGGGACTTGATAATAAAACTGGGCGTTTCTTAACACGCTTGTAAACACGATTTTTTCAACTGATTTTATATTATGTTAGGGCAGTCTTTCATAATACACGTAGACGGCATTGTGATGGAAAAAAATGTAA